AAAAGAAAAGAAATGAATAATAATAATGACGCTGTTCTAACCTACAAATACATTTTGTTGTTCCTAATCCAGGTAAATCATGACATACACCTCCATTTGGACAACTCATTCCGATACATTCATCTGGACCAAATTGACATCTGCTTCCCGTATAATCTTTAATTATAAATACATATATATATATATATATTAAATTGAATTTTTACGAAATTAAAATTTAATTTCAAATTTATGCTATATAACCAATTCGATACGGTGTTTATGAAAAACTCATGCTAAAAATAATAAATTTTATTGCAAATTTTTAAATTGAAAAAAAACAAAAAGAAAAGAGAACTAAACGAACTTTGTGCACATATACAACGAAATGTACCAGCTGCAGCTTCACAAATTCCTTCATTAAAGCATGGTTGTGTATTACATAAGGGCATTTGTTCTTCACAATATTTACCGGTATATCTGAAATTTAATAATTTATAAAATTAATAGATGAATTATCGATTAAAATTTTAAATCTCAAACTTATAGTTAAAATGATAAATAATAAGTACTAAAAAGGATAATGAAGAAAAAAAAAAGAAAATGATAAGAAAATATTTTTCTTACAAATATTTTAAGCGAACTCATAAATGATTGAATGATTGTAAAATTAGGCTAAAATTTACAATTAGCAACATAAATGACATCCGAAAAAAAAGTTAGTAATTAATGATTATTTTAGAGAGTGTAATTTTTATTTGATATAATATGCTGTAATGATGAGATTAGTTAAATGATTTGTAGTAATTCCATGAACATTAATTCTTATATACTTTAATAAGTCTTAATTAATTAAATTGCAATAGCATACGAACCCGGGTCGGCAAAAGCAAAGAGCTTTATGATTTTCCACCATACAGGTACCCTTATTTTCACATTTCACAGCTGAACAATCAACTGGCATACAATCTGTTGCTTCTACCGTACCCGCATCTCGTGTTATCGTATTATTCGGACATTCTATACATCTGTAAAAAGAAATAAAACGAAAAAGAAAATTTATATAATTTATACTTTTTTTCCATAATTTATATGGAATTTAAATTTTATATAATTAAATTATTTTGTGCATAAACTGAATGGAATTCATCGAATTAATTTTTACTAATCCATTTCCTATTTCTTATTAATCATTCCTAACTTGAAAAAAGTACATGAGGAAAGTATTAAATTAATCATAAAATTTAGTATTAAAATTCAATACAAAATTTAGTATTCCGGTATTTTTCGCACCATGTTAAAGGTGAATTTAAACAGTTAATTCCAAGGAAATTAAGTAACCTTTGTTGTCCAAGCACAGGTTGATACCAATTGATAGGGCATGGTGAGCATGGTTCTAAACCTGTTAATGAGAAATGACCTACTGGACAGGGAAGTTTGCACTGTGATGGACCAGTAGATCCTAATTTTGCCGTATATGACCCCTATAAAATTTATGGTTATTAGTTTTTAGATAATTTTAAATGCTGGATTTTCAATTACCCACATAATAATTACAATACTGTGCAAAAAATGACAAAGCTTAAAAACTTATATTCAAATACTAAAATCATCCTTTCCTGTATGTTAAATAGAAATTTTTTTTCTTAAATTTTGAATCAATTTACGAATAATTGGTATTTTTTTTAAAAAACGATTCATAAATACATTTCAAAAAATACCTGAGTTTTTGGTTAATAAAATTTAAATTATAATACCTGTGGACATGGTTCACATTGTTTATAGCCACCAAATATTGAAGGACCAGCAAAAGTATGTCGAGGACATAGTTGACAAGGAATTAAGCCAGTTTCACTATACATACCATTTCCACAAACAGCTACAAAAAAAATATATGTATATCATTATCATTTAATTTTGCACATATTTAAAATAATTTAAATTAAACATTTAAATGTTTCGTATAATAAAATAAATGAGAAACATACGAAGACAAGCATTAAATGTTTGAGAACCCGGAAATTGTGTGAAAGTTTGTTCCGGACATGGCTTACAGGTTATTTGTGCTACTTCATCCTGATAACTTCCGGCAGGACATAATTCACAAGTGTTATTGATATGAACCGTTCCTTTTGGACATTGTACTAAAGGCAAATTTTTTCATTAATATTTTATTTATCAATTTAAAATTGTAAAAATTTAATTTAGGTTTTCTAAAATTAGATTTTCTGAAATTTATTCAAATTTTAAATTACATTGAATATGCATTTATTAGTGAAAAATATTAATCATTAATATTAAATAATTGATTATGGATAGAACAAAAAGATTATTGTTAGAAAATTAATTTTTCCTTTTTTTACTTTCCCAAAAATAAGTTTCAATGTATGGTATGTCTAAATATCGAAGTGATAATTTATAGAGTAAGAAAATTTAAATAAATTTCGATAATTCTAAATAAACATACAACATTCAGGAAGTGTTTCCGTATTGCCTTCTCGTAGAATTTCACCATCCAAACATCCGAAACCCTGAACAACAATTGTTTTTGTTGCATTCATCGATGGACAACCAACTGATTGTGTTGCAATTGTTTCACCATTAACATAAAGAAGATTTTGAATGGGTGTAGTAGCACCTAAAGAAATTGAAATGAAATTTAAAATTGGAATTAATGAAATCGACATATATTTTCAAAAAATAAATAATATGAAATAAAATGAAATTTAAAAAAAAAAATATAAAATACGATGTAATAAATTTTTCTATTAAATACTGAAATTTCTTCATTCATTTCAAAATTCCGATATAGTATTCAAATAACTTCTTTTGGTCTTTTTTTTTTTTTTTTTAATCTGAATGAAGAAAAAAATACTTAAATTTTAGAAGTGAAATCAAAATTTAAATATCAAATTTTTGAAATTTTAATGATTGAGGTACTTTTTTTTTCTAATTAACTGGAGAATTAATTTTTATCTCCAAAGTTTGGTGGTTTAAAATTGAATTTTATAATTAAAAGAAGGAAAAAGGTAATAACTTTATTCACCTGGTATTCGTAAATCAAAAATTGTTCGCAATGTTAAACCACATAATTCATAGAAAACATCTTGTAAAACAGTTGGAAGTATTTGAATAGTATAATTAGCTATGACACCATTCATTGTATTAACGAATTTAACATCCAAGAAACGCACAAATACTTCAATTGATGATGAACAACGTTGTGATAAGGTTGTATCCAATGTATTAAAGAATGTACTAATATATTCCGAATAACCCTGAGGAATAATTTTAAATCTTGAAAAATAATTCTAAACATTGATGATTAATTTTAAATCCTGAAAATTAATTTTAAACTTTGAGAATTAATTTTAAACCACAGAATTAGATTCAAATCTTAAAATTTAATTTTGACTTAAAAGAACTAATTCAAAACCCTGAGAATTAATTTTAAGCATTGAGGATTAATTTTAAATACTAAAAATTAATTTTAAACCTTAAGAATCAATTTTAAATACCAAGAATTAAGTTTTAATCTTGGAATTTAATTTTAACTTAAGAGAACTAACTCGGAAACCTGAGAATTAATTCTAAGCCTTGAGGATTAAAAAAAAAGTGAGAGAGAGGAAGGATGTAAGGTAAAAGAGGAATAGAAAGAAAAGAAGAAAAAAAAGAGGAAATAGTTCAGGAAAAAAGTATAAGTTCAAAATAAAAAATTAAAATTAGAGTTTTAATTAAATATGATAATAAAAATAATTAAATGACATTTAAGTGACGATTTTTTTTTCAAAAAGATTTGGTAAATGACTAATGAAATAGTAAACTATAGTTAAATGATCATTTAATCATTAAACAATATGTTTGCTTTTTCTTATCAATTAATATACCTTGGATTATTCATTAAGTAGCAGAAAAATATTAAAAAAAAATTGCTAATTTTTACTATCATATTTTGGTAAAAAAATTTCAATTTTAATCTTAACTTAAAATTTTCAATTTCAATTTCGATTTGATCTTAAAACATTACTTATAATGAAATAATAAATTATTTTATTACCTTAAGACAATCACTACCGACAGGAGTAGAAACAGCATAATGAATACTGACAGTTAATTCATAACGTGCTGGTTCTAAAGCAACCGGTACACATGCTGGTACCACATTTGATGGTGACCAGATACCATTGGTACATGTGAATTGTTGTGTAGCATTCTTTACATTAACAAACGTAAATTTTCGAGCACATTTAGCAGTACAAATAGTTGTGGTATCTTGTATTTGACATTCTTTTTCAACACTTTCTTCTCCGATCAA